AAGGATGTCTCGAGAAGCTCAGACTGTTCACAGCCGACTTGCGTCACCTTGCATTTTCCAGGCATGGGCGGCGCACTGGGCAACGCGCGCTGGAGCATGAGGTTCAGTGCCGCACGCTCATGGTGCAGCTGGCGCTTCCGCAAGGTCTCCAACGCTTGCATCACCGCCTGTGCCTCCTGCGCCTGGGCCTTGGGCTTCACGGGACTCGGCACCTGAGCGCTCCGCGCCGAGGGCCGGCCGACCTTGGCGGCGGAACCAGGGCGCAACTCACGCCTGCCGTGGGCAAACTTGCAGTTTTCGCCGAGCTTGCATTCGCCCATCTCCATGAAATCCGCGCAGAGGCGGGTCTTCGAGAAGTCCGGCTGATCACGAAGCTGGGTCTTGCCATGCGCAAAGGCGCAGCTCGAGCCGCGGCTGCACGCGCCGACGGCAAAGAACTTGCAGAGCTGCGTCTTCTTGTGGAACTGGAGCCGCCGGATTTCGGAGTCGCAGTCGTCGGTCACGAGCTGCGTCCTCTGGGCTGCCATGGCGATCGAGGATGAAAGGGGGGAGTTATACTCAACTGGGCTGGCAGCTATAGACGTCTGGGCCACACCTGAGACGCGTGAAGCGCGACTTCCAACAGCATCCAAGGCGCACTATGGGCAACTCGCACTCTCCCTCTCGCCCTCCTCTCTGTACAAAGCGGCCTTGGCCGATTTCAGTGCTTCCGTTTACCTCAAACCCTTTTGAACCCTGTCCGAGAGCCATCCTAAACCTTTTTTTGCATCCGGACTCCTTTGGGTGCTACCAGAAACTGCCCAAGCGCAGCCATGCTAAACCCTAACATCCCTAAACCCTATAAACCCTAAACCCCAATGAAACCCTAAACATCCCTAAACCCTAAAGCCTAAACACAACATACACCGATGCGACGAAGCGCGCCACAAATTTCAGGTATGTTTTGCAGTCTGCCGGCCATCGACCACGAGAGTGTGAACATGTCGACGTGGTTCGACATCGATTTCCGCAACTTGCTAACTGCCTGCAGCTTAGAAGCACCAGCTTAGGGGCGCCTTGCTGCGCACGCCGCGCATGTAAACACGCGAGGGTGCTGAAAAACACGGCGGTTTTGGAAGTTGGCCCAGGGCCTGTCGACCTTCGAAACTTGACACGTTGGAGAATTCGGAGAAACCAACAAGTGCTTGAAAGCAGCATGACCTGGTCGCGTGCCCTGTGCCGTCTGTACAAGATGCACTGCAAACAAGCAGACAATTTGAGCCCACCGAGGTTTCAACTTAAAGTAACTGGGAGGTCTGTGAATCTTTGCTTCACAAGACCTTCTTGATGCAAACAATTCTTGAGACGGCCACCGCTGGTAGAAGTGTCCGGAGGACCCACTTCGCTTTTGTCGGCAATCACACCCAAGAAGCACTGCGAACATGCCGACAACCTCAACCACCTAGGCGTCAACTTCAAAGCAACTGGGAGGTCTGTGACGGTCTCTGAAGCTTTGCTTCACAACACGTTCTTGATGCAAAAAATTCCTGAGACGGCCACCGCTGGCAGAAGTGTCCAGAGAACCAACTTGGGATATTGCAAACTGCAACGTCGATCGTCCCACCCTGTCTACGCAAGAAATAATGCAAACATGAAGACAACCTCAACCACCTGGGCGTCAACTTAAAAGCAACTGGGAGGTCTGTGAAGCTCGGCTTCACCAGACATTCTGGATGAAAAAAGTTCTTGGACGGCCACCGTTGGAAGAAGTGCTCAGAAAATGTCTTTGTGTACTTCTGTTAGGAAGCGCTGTCAAGAAAGCCTTTATCTCTCTGTCATATTTCTGCATAGCCGAATAACGGAACACCTGTGATTCACAGTGTTTTACAAGCACACGCGCACCTTCACATGACGATTTGTCGCAAGGCCTCCTCTCTAGAGGAGACGCCGGAACACAATAATACCGACAAAGATATTCTTTGTTCGTCTGCTTGTTTGCTTGTTTGCGCCTGCTCCAAGCTACATGAAAGAACACTGAGCAGCTGGAGACAGAATGTTTAACTTTTGGCTATTCTTGGTGCTGCTGGTTGTGCCCCAGCTGCGGAGCGAAAAAAAAAACACATCACGACACGCAAGGTACCTTACCACATCAACGCGACCAAGAACCAGAACGAAGCAACGGAGCCGCAGACAGCATGTTTGGGGGTTGGTTGGCACATATGCCGGCAAGAGGAGGTTTAGGGTTTAGGGTTTAGGGTTTATGGTTTGGAGTTTGGGGTTTAGGGTTTAGGGGAGACGGCACGCAACTTCTTCAAAAGACGTCTGCAGGCGGGAAACGATGGACAGCTACTGGGACATCTGGGTGCAACAACAGCCTTGATTCCCTCGGTAGCTGCTCTCATTGTATGATGTAGCTTCCTCTTCCAATGTGCAGAACCGTGGTCTTGATACATAGGAAGAAGGAAGAAAAAACAAACTTGCTTTTTGGGAGAACGTACGAACACAGCCAGTGTTTACCAAGGAGGAAGCCAGCGAATTCTCCTCGGAAAGGCTTCTCTTACTTTTAAGTAGCACGTAAATAGCGAAAACAAATCTCTGGTAAGTGTCCGAATAGCTCCCACAATTGTAGATACCTCATTAAGGAGCTGTTGCTCGCTAAGTCATTGCATAAGGCCTAAAGGACTGACAGTCCTGGCAAAACTTACACTTTCCACTACCGCACTCTATTTCAAGTCGTACGTAGCAGTACCCAGATAGAACTGTATTTGTTGGGCAGCTACACATGCCAGCAAGGTTGCTCCTGCGAGGCTTCGGAATCCTTCCAGCATGAAACACAAAGCACGCCTAGCGGCCGTCTTTCTAGAATATTCACGGTTCATGTCGATCCTAATGAGGAGAACTTTAACTTACAATAAACACTACTCCCATGATTGTCACTTCCTGGAAAGTTCCACATTCCGCATTTTGCACTTCCAGTTGAGTCAGGATGCTGCCGTTTCTGGAGAACCCGCATTGCATCTAAAATCTTAGTGTAAAGCGAACCGAAAGTAGTTCGGATTCCGGCACTCTCTGGAAGGTTCTTCTATACCGAATGCAAAAAATCAACGCTTGTCAGGTCAAGTCCCTGTCTCGGGCTACGCATCAAGAAACTGATCACTCTCTGGAACGTTGGAGGTCACATATTTCGATAAATCCATGTTCTTCAGTCGCGAGATCATGTGCTGACAAGGCTGACAAGTCTTTTTCGATTCCATCGTAAAGCTTCTTCCATACAAGCCAAGGAGATTAAGTCTCAAGCACTCCACAAAAGCATGTTAACTTAGGCGCAAGCAATTTCTGCAAAGTTGGCCAAGTCACGGCGAAGCTATACATAGCGGTTCCTCGTTCGTTCGCTCACGTACCAATATGCTACCTGAAACACCAACGACACCACTAGAAATGGAATCAGGCAGCCTTCCCGTCGACGCAGTTCTCGCAAGCGAGCCTACATCGAAAGCCAGCTATTGCTTTGCAAGTCATGCCGGTTCCAAGGATCGCTTATCTTTTGCAACGTGGCGATACCTACCCAGCTTCGAGAGCCCGTTTGGAACCGGCAAGTGAAGCTGCATATGGCGCTGTTGGACCTGGTACCAAAAAGGACCCTAGATCTCACGCGGCCTTGAGCTTGAAATCGAACCCTGCCACGCGCGGTGGCTCGGTGGCCCACTGCCCCTCAGAAAGGCCAGGCAAGTACGAACAAACCCCAAAGACGTTGCTGTGCGCAAGTTACATACATACCTACCAACCTACTACCTGCATACATAGATACATACATACATGCATACATACATGCATGCATAAACTCGTACTTTAAAAGGACATAAATTATAATTACATACATAAGAATTACATACGCACATACATACATACATACATACAGACATACATACATGCATACATTCATGCGTACATGCGTACATGCATACATGCACACATGCAAACGCACACTACGTACACACATGCTTGAGTACATAGATTTCCAATTTATCTAGCCAGAAACTTCACGAGTTCTCCCCTCAAAGCCCTGTGAAGGATGGCAGGGACTTCGTCCGACGCATCGCTGGTGCAGCGAATTCCTCGTCGTCGACCTGGATGTGGATAAATGTGTTCTTCACCTGCACATCCGAATCGCCTACGCTTCCCGCGACATGTGGCAGCTCACTGGAAGGCTCGCGTGGATCATCCATGGCCGTGCAGGACCTTAACTCCACGGAGCTGGCGTTGGAAGCATCCGAGGAGGCTCTGCTGAAGCCGGTGGAAAGGATCTCCACGCCCTCCCAGGTGGTCTGGCGGCTGAAGGATGTCTCGAGAAGCTCAGACTGTTCACAGCCGACTTGCGTCACCTTGCATTTTCCAGGCATGGGCGGCGCACTGGGCAACGCGCGCTGGAGCATGAGGTTCAGTGCCGCACGCTCATGGTGCAGCTGGCGCTTCCGCAAGGTCTCCAACGCTTGCATCACCGCCTGTGCCTCCTGCGCCTGGGCCTTGGGCTTCACGGGACTCGGCACCTGAGCGCTCCGCGCCGAGGGCCGGCCGACCTTGGCGGCGGAACCAGGGCGCAACTCACGCCTGCCGTGGGCAAACTTGCAGTTTTCGCCGAGCTTGCATTCGCCCAGCTCCATGAAATCCGCGCAGAGGCGGGTCTTCGAGAAGTCCGGCTGATCACGAAGCTGGGTCTTGCCATGCGCAAAGGCGCAGCTCGAGCCGCGGCTGCACGCGCCGACGGCAAAGAACTTGCAGAGCTGCGTCTTCTTGTGGAACTGGAGCCGCCGGGCTTCGGAGTCGCAGTCGTCGGTCACGAGCTGCGTCCTCTGGGCTGCCATGGCGATCGAGGATGAAAGGGGGGAGTTATACTCAACTGGGCTGGCAGCTATAGACGTCTGGGCCACACCTGATACGCGTGGAGCGGACGGCAATGTCCGGACAGTCTCTGGGTCATGCGATTCTCAAGCTTGAACAGAACATAGCAGAGGCTCCCAAGCCTCCCCAGAGTCAGCAGACCAATTGCGAAGCCGCTGCTCCTCAGTCTTCAAAGGAAGCAAAGCGTGAAAGCTGAGCCATGTTGGGGTATGGAGTGTTTAAACGAAACACGTACATGACAATGCATTAGAAACATGAGGATACCTGTATATATATATATATATATATACATATACATATACATATGTATATATATATGGTGCCCCCCCGTACCTACCATTTTAGAGACCTCCTAATAACCTTAGCGGTTTAAGGGTCTTGGGAAGTTATATATATATATATAGATAGATAGATAGATACATATCTATATATATGTATGTATGTATGTATGTATACAAGGTCGCCCCCCGGCCCCCCAGGCCACAGTTTCTATCTGAATAAAGTTGAAACCCATCGCATTTCAATATCACTTATTCTGGGCTCCGGATTCCAGATTTCTAGATTTGCAAGGGCTAGGGAGTCAACACGATGTAATCTCTGAACATCTGTGCCTTAGCAAATCTGGGATTCCTTAGGTTAATTCATTTAAACGGTTTCATTAAGGAGTATTTGCTTTTTTCGTGTAGTCACTGTAGAAAAAGCACGAAGTAAGTATATTCATAAAACTCTCAAACGCGATTTAATAACATCACAATTTAAGTCAGGATCAATTAGGATCATTAAATTAACGTAACTAACTAAAACTTTGCAGGGTCTGGCAGGGTCTGAATGTAGAGTTTGAAATAATTTCATTGACCCTTAAGAAAAAGAACCACCCTTTGAGTATGTATGGATAATAGCAGTCAAGTTAATCTAATTAGTGAAAAATGTGTTCAGTTCGAGTTTGGGAATTACTTAAACTTGTTGACTAAGCTACATTCTTGACGCAAAATCATGGAATCAATTTTAGTATTTTCATTGAAGGCCAATTAGGCTATCTAAAACCTGAGTTCAGGACCTTTCGCTAAGTAAGTTGCTTATTTTATCTAGCTTCATGGACCCTGACAATATACATATGTGAATTTCTTAGCTTCTTGAATCAGCTAGAGAAGTGCGTTTTCAAAAAAAGTGAAAATTTAATAGTATAATTCTTTTATTAGCTTAACTAATCTAAGTTGCATCTAGATGAATTATCGAACTCGAACCTGAGAATTTAACTAGTACAAGTGATTGAATTGGCGCTTACTTAAAATGGGTTAAACATTGTTCGAGCTTGATTTTGTCTAGTTCCTGCAACTAAGGTTTTACATACGCATATGGCCGTTAACCAGAAGAACTACATACAACATGCATTTTGCAAATGGATTTCAGAGTTTAGCTGATTTGAGGAACTTAACTAAGGGCCAAGTAAATGAATAAACATGTATATCGTCTCAAGTTCGGTTTTGATACTTTGACTAGTTTAAGTAGACAGTGTAAGGAGCAAGTGTACTAGTCAAATGAATAAGGTTCTGGATACTAAGTAGACTTACTAACTCAACAGGGTTTCCAAGTAGGGTTTAATTACCGTTTAGTACTTTGGGTGGAGGCTTTGAGTGTCGCGCAAATGAATGGGTTTAGCACCCTAAACCCTAAACTCTAAACTAAAATCCTACACCCTGAACCCTAAACCCCTGAAACCCCTGGGCTTCAGGATGATGGCCAAAGAGCGTTAACATTGTTTGTGTGTGCGCGCGCTTGCGTTTTCGCATTAGGGCTAGGGGCTTTGTGGTGAATTTGAGGTGGAGGCTCTGGGTGCTTTGAGTTGCTTCAGTAGTAGAGGTCTCGGAAAGTATTCAGGGTTTATGGTTTAGGGTTACAGTGTCCTTATGCAATGAAGTGGCCGGTAATGCATAAAGTTGCAGATGACAGTAGCTCCACTAGCTGCTGCCTCACCGCACCTAACTCTGGCGGTCTCTTGCCTGCAACCACCTCTGCAAAAGCTCGGCATTTCGCTTAAGAATCACGGGGTGACGAGACAAGAGCACCTTCTGTATTGGGCCTGAAGCCCGAAACGCAACCACCCCAACCCAGAAACCACATTTTACTGTGTAACTGCATGCATGTTATATATGTCGAAGCACAGAGTGTCTACAAGTGGACTAGATGCAGGTATCATTGTACGTACGAATATATACGCATACTTATGACACTTATGTATCAAGTTCTGTATACATTTGCATGTTTATATACATAGATTTAGATTTATATTTACGTGATACTTATATTTATTCATGTATTTATTTAGTTATTCGTTCATTTATGTATATATGTATATATGTATATAGAAATCCCCCCCCCCCCCAGTTACATATGTAGAAATGCCCGCTGGTGAATTTTGGGCGTGCCCCCGCCTCACCGGAGTCTTCGGAGAAGTTCCGCACTCGGTGCCCTCGGGGTAGAGGCTCCTTTCCAGCTGGGCATCCCGTGCCCTGTTTGGGGTGGTTTAGGGTTTAGGGTCTAGGACTTAGGGCTTCGGGCTGCGGGTCTTGGATTTAGGGTTTTGTCAGTATGAGGGGGGTATCCCTAAAACGGGGTATCCTATTTGTTGTGGGTTCCCGAGTTAGGAGTCTCATCACTGAGTATACAAGGTGTGTTGTTGGTGTGAATGCCCATATCTCGCCTCTACGTGCCGCATGCCGGCCGGAGTGCCCACCAAGACTTGCACATGAGTAGCCAAACTACCTGCCTAAAACCGATACTCCTAAATCCCAAACCCACCCAACACATCCCAAAGCCCCCCTTTAAACTCTACCCAGGTAGCCCTAAAGGGCACTTCTCTCACAAGGGACTCCCCAGGGAGGGTTCTTAGCGCCCTCGAGTGGGGTCCTCGCCACTGCCGGCACGTCTGGGCCTCACCCGCGGCTCCTGGGGCGCCTCCCAGCAGAGGGTGTCGTCTGGAGCTTGTTGTTTTTGTTTGGCCGCCCGCCTCTCTCCTAAACCCTAAACCCTAAACCCTAAAGCCTAAAGCCTAAACCCTAAACCCTAAAGCCTAAACCCTAAACCCTCAACCCTCACTCCACAGGATGCTCAAAGATTAAGAACACGAGCAACTTTTGCCAAGTTCAGAAGAGTTCAGTAGCCCACCCCATCGCATCCCAGCCACAAAGCCTATAGTAAGAAGACCGAAGTTTAGGGTTTAGGGCTTAGGGAAGTTTAGGGTCTAGGGATTCTCAAGGGCAGGAGCTGGGGGGTCTAGGTCAACGGCTCACGGCTTGGCTTCCCAGAATGCCTTCCAAGAGGCTCTACAGACCACGAAGCCATGCACCCTAAAACCTACACCCTAAACCCTAAATTCCCTTAGCAACTTCGGCCGACGCCATTGTGCCGACGCCATTGTGCCGACACACACTTTCGGACCTACCGACCGAGCCTGCCATCATCAACTACAGTTGGGGAGCAAAAGCTCGTCGGACGAGACCCAAGGAGCTGGAGGAACCACCCACTAGGGGCGGGCTGCAATATCATTACGGTCGCCACACGCCTAGTGACTGCGCGGGGACACATCGAGGACTCGCATTTGACAACTCGACTACCTACAGGTTTGGGGGGTGTTGGGGTGTTGGGGTGGCTTATGGGAGTCAAGGTCTACGGGGATCACAAAGGTTACTGTGGGGTCCACAAGGTGTTTCTGTGCCATGGCTGCGGCTGGATAGGCTTACTCGCTGAGAGGGGTAAAGCTGTTCATGAGCAGGGAGGGGGCGGGCCGCTCTCGAGCTCTGCCTTGTTGAGGGTTTCAGGTTTATAAGGGTTAGGGTTTAGGGTTTAGGGTTTAGGCTTTAGGGTTTAGGGTTAATTCTTTGGCGATGCTTTCCCTAAGGGTCGGAGGAGAGGGGGCTTCTGAAAGCATTGGACGGTGGCAATGAGAGACTGCAGGCCTGCTTCTCGCTGCGCGCAGGCTTCGGCTTCCCTCCACCTCACATATATAAATATAAATACATATATATATATATTTATTTATTTAGATATTTATTTATAGATATTTATATATTTATATTTATTTTACAAGGATCAAGGAATTCTAGGATGGCCCTTTAAAAACCCTCTGAAAAATTTTCCTGAGTATGATCCTCTTCAACCCAATGAGGGAAGATGAAAACTCTACGCCCGTTCAAGAGAAGCTGAGCGTCTTCTTTCCCCAGAGCGCGTTGCCGGGGAGGAGCTGCCATGACCTATACAGGGCAAGTGAGCTGCTACAGGGGCAGGACCTTGCTTCTTAAGGGCACGCAAGTGCGCTATAGAGGTGGAACTTTGGGCCTTGTCTTGGCGGCATTTGGGGTTTAGGGTTGAGGGTTGAGGGTTTAGGGTCGCCTTGGGAAGACTAGGCCCATTGCCCTGCTAACCGTCTGGAGCCCTAGGAGGACTCAGGTTCTGCGGGTGTATAAGCTTGCTTTATTTGGGGCACCGAGGACAAACCTACATGGGGGCTTTGAAAGTATAATTATAAAGGGACCATAAGGGAAAACTCTTAGTAATGATTCCGAACCCTACAGCCTACACCCCCTAAAGCCTGAAGCCTGAAGCCTGAAGCCTGAAGCCTGAAGCCTGAAGCCTGAAGCCTAAAAAAGCCTAAACCATCCTAAACCCTAAACCATCCTCACCCTAAACCCTAAACCCTAAACCCCCTCGTTGGAAGGGCCTTTCAGCGGCGGTCGTCGGGGCATGGCTGCCGGCACGGAGGATTCTGATTGCTCCACCTCGTCACTCTGCCAAGGGTTTAGGGTTTAGGCTTTAGGGACTTATATTCCCCCGGCCTCCAGTGGCCCTAAACCCTACAAACCCCACACCCCCCATCTGGGGAGTTCACGAAAAGAGGGGACCCCTAAAATAGACCCCCAAATAGTAGGAGCCCCTTATACAATAAGGTACCCCCTTATACTCTAAACCCTCATGTTTGGGGTTGTTGTCAAGCCCCAGGTTGATTGTACTCCGAAAGGCTTCAGGATGCTTTTGCTGGTAAGCTGGCATCGGCCCTTGTCAAACAGCAGCAAAGCGACAGGGGTTGCATGACTATTCATGTCTCTGGAGGTACGGAATAAGCTCGCAAGCGACAGCCCAGCAGGGCTCGTTGCGTCGACATTCGGTCCAACGAAAAGCGCGCGAGCCAATCGGAATGCCTTCTGGACGACGCCCACAGCCACAGTCACCTCTTCACTTGCACCAGCAGCTTCACACAGGTATCGGTTCACAGCAGGAGCTCGTGGCCCTGATTTAACAGCATCCCGATCCAGGTTTAGGGTTTAGGGTTTGGGGTTTGGGGTTTAGGGTTTAGGGTTTAGGGGTTTAGGGGTGCTAGCTGCAGAGGGCCATCGATGCGAAGCATAGGAGAAGAACTCGGCTTTGCCAAGGTCGCCTTCTGGTCGTGCACAGAGAAGCGCCCCAGAGTCGGATACTCCTGACAGATTCTGCAAATCCCCCCCCCCCCCCCCCCCACAATTTCAACTCTATACATATATTTAAATAAATAAAAAAATATATATATATATATATGAATCTGCATATATAGAAACAGGTTTATCTACTTATGTGTTTTCGGAAATGTATCACACTTCTACACCCGACGGCCTAGGTGCTAAAGTCCTCACGTCCATGATGCGGCAACCAAAGGCGCATGTCCGAAATGTGCATGCCCGAAAAGCCAGGGGGAATGGGGATATGAGGGCCGTGTATAGCCGCTTAAAGGGTATACATACATATATATATATATGTATATATATATATATCCCCAATTCCCTCATTCCCTATTAAGAACCAAGGGGAAAAGTCTCTAAAGCATTCAACAGTGACGGTGTGATGGGAAACGAGGAATGGAGGATCGGGGACGCATAAAAAAAACATGTACTCTAATAATTTTACAATAATAGGGAATAAGGTTTGGGAATAAGGTAGGAATAAGAAACAAGAATACTATTATTTCAACAAAATAGTGTTATTATTGGTTTGTTATTTAGGATTGACTAGTTCGCTGTATTCTTCTTCAATGTCCTGAATACTTTTATTCAACCACTTGACTCCATTCTTTGGTTTCACATCTAAATGTTCAGGGTCTGGGTTTGGGTCTGTTATATGGCCTAGGGGGTGTGCAGTGAGATAACGGAAATGCCTCGCGTTCTTCGCGACAACCTTCTCCCTAAACCTTATTCCTGTTATAGATAAATAATTTAAGAAGACCATTTCCATTTTCTAGGGTTAGGGATTTCGGGTTGACACTATCGGGTTTTCTATGGGTGTGTGGGTGTATGGAGTTGAGGTTGGGCTTTTCTATGTGGTGGTGTATGGGTCTTCCAATGGTTCTATATTGTGGGTCTTAGTATGGGTATTTTGGTGAGTTTAGGGTTGAGGTACAGGTCGTTGTGATTTGGGTGCTAGGGGGTGGTGCATGGTTAGAAAATGGAAATGGTATCCGCTAACTTATTGTAGGAACGCCCCAGAAGGGGCACCCCTCTTTCGGACACCTTCATATTACGGAGAAGAGAAGGTTCGCCCAGTGTATCGAGACACGCTTTGGACTTGTGCTTGCACGATGAGGACTCTCGAACTTCCGTCCAGGCAAATTGGCTTTGTAGTCTTGGCTCAGTGTAAGGGTTGTTTGCGTAGTAGCTTTCGACCAAGGTTCTGGCATTGCAAAGCTTGTTTACTGTAAGACACACATGCCTCGCGCATGAGAGTGAGATACATGTCTTCTAAGCAGACATCAATTCCCAAATGTCAGAACGGTCGGGTTCTTTCGTTCGTCTAGGCAAAGCAACACATCGCGTCTTCATGCTGAGATGTGTGTCTCGTTTTCAGTCATCGCCGACCTTGCTTAGAATATTCCGATCGTTGTTCGCAATGAGAGAATGTACAAGCTTCATGAACCCAAACAGCGGCGTGTTGCTAAGACCAAAGCCAAACACATACCCAAGAACCTCCTACCCTAAACCCTAAACCCTAAACCCGGGTGAGCGACTGTGACCAACTCCGTCCTCAAACGGCTCGACGCACAGGGGTGAGAGAGGCTTTAGCCTTCAAAGCAAATGCTTGACTTGACTTGCCAACCGTTGAAATGGAGGGTTTCCGAATTTAGGGTACCTTCTTTTGGGTCCCTACGATGAGGGAATCTCGCTAAGTGTGGGTGTATTGTCTGGGTCCCCTACTTTCGTATACCGCCAAATCGACAGCACCAGGATCTATGTTTAAGCACAAATATGGACATCTCATTGCGGAGTCGAAGTGGCAGAACTTGCAATCGCTGGCCTGCTGCTGTGACATGCAATCTACCGGCTCCGGCCAATTGGTCAAGAGCTTGTCACCTTATGTGAGGCACGGAGTGCGTGACCTTAACCCGAAGTTCTTAGGTTCAAATGCAAACATGTGACCCATTGCCTTGATACCTCCTCATGTCACCTTGACTCGGGTTCAAAAATTGCAGCACTCAACCTCCGAGCCTCACAATGGCTGCATCCCCACCACGCAATGCCAGCGGCCGCGTCTGCAACACTTTGCCTGCCAGGATGGGCTAGTATACCCGATAACCCCTTAAAACGGCCCTTTATAGGGTTGACTATGGGCATTATAGGGCCTAATGGCCCATCCTTGTGGTACAAGGGCTGAAGGAAGGATCGGCTGTCGGCTTCTACTTGGAGGTCCATGGGATTGCAAAGGGAACCGCGGCAAAGGACCCCAGCCACCGCTGTGTTGTGGGCTTCTGGGCTTCTGTGGCTTCGAGGTCTCTTAGCTCCTACCAACTTTCAGGCACTTTCCACACCTGTTTCTCCCCTAAACCATTGCACTCCCCCAAAAGAGCTTCAGCCCACCAAAAAACAAATCGTTCAAGGGTTTCGCTTCGGATGCTTGTTCGGGCATAATGCGTTGCAGCTTGCCTATTCCTGACATTGGAGATGGGGCAAGTGCACTCTGACGCATGATCCCAACCCCCCTAAACCCTAAACCCTAAACCCTAAAGTGAAGCGATTTCTGGCCCCAAGTCCGCCTGTTCGACGGTCTGTGCGTGAGACCAACTCCTGAAAGGCGCAAAGCACCTGAGCCGTGTGGCCTGGGAGCAGGTCCGAATTCATGGGTTGTTTAGGGTTAGGGCTTAGGGCTTGGGGCTTAGGGTGGTTCAGTTGGGTTCAAGCAGAGCCCACATGTCTAAGCGCTCAATTACAGGGCTTAGGGACCCTAAACTTCTGTAGTTTAGTCTCCAAGTGGATGCATCCACTTCGAGACCGTCCGAGTGAGTGTTTGCTTTAAACCCTAAACCAACCCCAAACCCTAAAGCTTTGAGCTCTCATTTACAGGATGTGCCAGTCCAGTTCGTGGCACCTCTGAAAATGCTCTTAAATCGGATCCGCGTAATCCCAATAAGGGAAGATCTAGAATATCCCTAAATCATAAACCCTGAATAAGATCCTCTTAACCCAAATAAGCCTCCCTATAGCCTAAACCTTACATAGGATCCTATGAATCCCAATAAGGGAAGCTATAACATGTCCCTGAACCCTACTGTAAGCCCTAAATAGGATCCTCTGAATCCCACTCAGGAAACTATATATAGAAGATCCTAAAACCTAAACCCTAAATAGGATCCTCTTAGTCCCAATAAGCGAAGACTTAAAGATATATAAAACCCCTAAACCCTAAACGCTAAATGGCATCCTCTTTCCCTAAACCCAAACCCCCTAAATAGGATCCTCTGAATCCTATGTATATATATATATATAATATCCCTAAACCCCCAAACCATCCTAAACTTCAGTCCCACGGGCCTACCTCAAAACAGCAACTTATCACACTGTAGATATACACATATATATATATATATAGCCGCTTATATCAACGACGCCGTGTGCAGAGGGCAGGCGAGTGTTTAAGGTTCAGGGTTCGGGGCTTTGGGTTCAGGCTAGGTAGGCAGGAAGTTCTTCGTCGGACGGCATGCCTGGGCACCATAGCTTTGGAGACCGTCATCTGCATGCTTTGCAAGGTTTGTTATGCAGGCGTCAACACCTGACATGAGATAAAACAGGAGAGACGTCTTTGCCACATGTCCGGTAGCTGTGAGGACTCAGCACAAAGCACCACGCATTGCCCTAGTTCCAAGTATGGAACCTATGAACCTGCATATGATGGTGAGAAGGGCCCGGGGCTGGTACAAGAGCCCAAGATTTTTGGATTTTTCAGGGCAATTGACTTGCGGTTGTAAAGCTGCCCTGAACTTGCCCATGCGGCCATGCGGCACACGACGGTGAGTTCCGAGTCTTTGCGGATTTCACCTGCAACAAGACTGCTATTTGCTTAAGAACCCCCCAAAATAAAACATTTTCTTCCTTATAAGGGTAATAAAGGGATGATTGTTTTTTACTCTTTTTTTTGAGGTTCTTAAGCAAATAGTAGAAGATGGCTAACTGGCTCTGCCAAACTGCGGCAAGACCCTGCGACCAAGGGTTGGGGTCCCGGGTTTAAGGGCTCCCTAGTCCTGGCAAAAGTCAATGCTTGTGCTCAGCGACATTCGCAATCTAAACCTTGAAGCCCGAAGCTTGCCAGCCTTGAGAAGGGAGTTTGGGGAATGAACTGTATAATCCTCTTTCCGGGTCTCTCTCACTCACTCTCTCTTCTTCTTCTTCGTCTTCTTCTTCTTCTTCTTCTTCTTCTTCTTCTGCAGGGCATGGGGGGGCCCGAGAGACCCCTCGCGCCTAGGCGCGCCCAAGTTCACTGTCATCGTGAGACTGCTTCTCGTTTCCCCGGGGTACTGCGGCCCTTGTTTGAAACCCATACCTATTTACCAGTCTCACTCTCTCTCTCTCTCTCTCTCTCTCTCTCTCTCTTTCTCTCTATGTATATACTATGTGGTACTTTCCCAAGAGCAACCTGCCTCTATAGTTACCCCCGAAAGACCGACACATACACGAGGTGCGACGCTGAGGCACGAGCGAGGGACTGCCCCAAGCGTTTATCTAAAGTCATATGTTAATTGGGTTTAGGGTTTAGGGTTTACTTTGGCTGCCAAAGTAATCGGGTGTAGCTTGCACTTGAGCGTCCCAACAGCTGTCCGTCATTCCCCTCGATGTGGGGTGGTACATCTGATGAAACACTCGCAGCATTCAGGAGCCAGCCAGAGGACAAGCAACTGGATTTGTTTTCGGAGACCGAGTTGCGTTATTGGAGATATTCCGCCTTACATGTGTGCGTTGCGCACTGATATTTTGGATTCGTGCTATACGCAAAGGCACTTCCGATTAGGGCTCTGTGTGTGTGTGTTTGGGATTTTGCAGGCAGAGTTAAAATGGAAACATCAACAAAGCAACGAAACATCGAAGACAACCCGCACACACAAACATGAACACACAACACCACACACACAAACAAACAATACTACGACCAGAAACAAACTACAATTACAAGCAAACAAACAAGCACAAAATTCATGGACTGTTGACGAGCACAACCAAAAAAGTGAACACAACCTGAATCAGAATACAAAGACATCGACAAAAAGGAACCATTCGGATGCCATGGACTCCTGATGCCCAGAACCAGCAAGCAAAACAATGAACACACTTTGAACTAAATTTGAACAAACATACATAGGTTTCGCCGGTTCAGCCCCTACCCCCCCCCCCCCCCCCCAAGCGAAAGCACTCACCTGCACGAGGATCACTGAGAACGATGACTTGCGCCAGGAAGGAGCAGCACCTCAAAGTTGGGTTTGTCCGACAGTCGTGACGTTCGAGGCTTGGGGTTCGATGAGGAATGCTAAGGTGTCATGCATTCTTTAGGGTTTAGGGTTTAGGGTTCCTGCTTGTAGCTGTGTGGAGCGGCGCAGCATGGCTCTGACCCGGTGGGTCCGCAACGCAATACAGAGACAGCTCTGCATGTGGACCCCTGGCGGCGTGCGCCCGATCGATGTCAAGGACCGAAACGCAGCCGCTCAGAGCAAAAGGCGGTGCATCTGAAGGTCATCCATCTGAACCTGTAAGCAGCCGCCACGGCCAAGGCCTCCTTGAACAGGCCCACATCTCCCGGTCGCATTTACTTGTCCGGTTCACTGGGCGGGAGCCTATTTCACCTGTGGAGAGAGAAAAGAGAGAGAGAGAGAGAGACAGAAAGAGAGCGAGAGAGAGAGCGAGAGAGAGAGAGAGAGCGAGAGCGAGAGAGATTGAGAGATAATAGAGATAGGGATAGAGATAGAGGTAGAGGTAGAGATAGAGAGATGTCTCGCTTCGGGAAGTTCCGGACTTCATTCCAGACTGTCTGATGACCCAGGCTTGAAAGCTGTAGCATTCTTGCACCACCCGCAGTTCTAAACCGCCAACAGCATCTCAAGCCCTCTGAAACACGATGTTGCCAGACCAACCCCAGCACAAGAACTGCGGCTGTCTGCTCAGCACGCGCAACCCCAAGATGTTTGTGCCGCAGCGCTCTGATGCCGGACTGTCGTCGACAGCAGAGCCGACCATACCTCTGCTGAGCTGCCAACTGCATGCACAGTAGGGTTTTAGGGCATCTGCGTGCCGGGAGGACATGCTATGCATGAGCCCCCTCAAGTATGCTTCCATCAGGCCCAAGATGAACTACTTAAGGACCTAAGCTCGGACTGCGGCTTTGGGACAGCAAGAACGGCTTGGGATGGCTTGGGAATTGCGGCTAATTAAATGTTGAAGCCCCCCCTACAACTCCGAAGCCCCAGAGGTTTCCAACTTGGCAGCCGGACCTCTTCGCAGGTCACTCATCTCGGCATCCACCGTCACGGTCACCGTGTTACCCACCACCGCCTGTGCGCTCAAGGATCTGGTCTGCGGGACCATTCGGCAGAAAGCTACCCAACTTGCCGGAATCTTACGCCCTGCATTCTGAGTTACTGCACAGTCCGAACGGAAAACTCTAAACTTCCGAGCAACCGAGATCAGGTCCCGAGCAACCGCCCTGAACCTAAACCGGCACCCTTTTCCCGAACCATGCGTTTACCATTGCTTCGCGAGGTTTTGGACTGTCTGGGACTACGAACTCACCTTGCTAGTCTACTGGAGCAGCTGGAACCCCAATGATTTACCGCTGCCAGGCTCCCAACGCAAGGCGTTTAGGGTTTCTGGTTTTCCTCCTTTGTCTAGGATGTAACTTAGGAGAACAAAGGGCCCTTCTTCGCGTACTTAGGCGCAAGAACTCCTAGCCCCTCAAAAAATAGGAACAAGGGCACTAGATGGCGCACAGCCCTGCAGTCTCAACGCCTCGTTCAGGGGCTCGTGGTGCATTGCGATGGCTGTGACTTCTGCAGTTGCGACGCCTGGGGCGAACCTTCAGAAGATGCAGACACGATTGAGAAGTCTTTGCAAGCCGGAGCATGCCGGAGCGACGCCTAGAGTTGATCGCGATAGCCCCCCAAACCCTCTGAGCCCTCGAGTACCCGGCTTTCTGTGGAAACTTCGTTTCGGCTTAGGACGCCAGCAAGAAAACTGAGACAACTCAGAACAAGGCATAAGTCGTGGGACATGAGATAAACTCTAAACCTCCACTTTGCAGCCTTGAAGTCCCAACGATGCTTTTTTTTCAGCAGGGGCTGCCGTGCACGCTGACTGAGAGTTTAATTCTCGGGGCTTGGACAATCAGACCTCCTATCTCTTCTTCTTCTTCTTCTGCACGCTTTAGAGACTCTCTCTCTCTTCTGTCCTTCGAGCACGCATGTTTAAGGTCTAAGTTTAGGGTTTTAGGGCGTTTTCTTTGCGGGGACCGCAGCTCCCGCGTTTCGCACTCACCCCGAATTCTGGGTGTCCAGGCGTCAGCACTCCCTCCCCCGCTCTCTCTCTCTCTCTCTCTCTTTCTCTTTCTCTCTCTCTCTCTCTCTCTCTCTATCTTCTTCTTCTACCGAGCGAAGGAGCCCTCTCTTTATCTCTTTCTTTCTTTCTTGGGGGCATGGGGGCACCGGGCGTCGGCGACCGCCCCGGTATTCGGGACCCTCTGTGACAGTCGCAAGAAAAGCGAGTTGAGCGTGGCGCATTCGTCCTCCCCCCCCCCCCCCCCCCCCCCCCCACCCTGCTGTGCCTAACAGCTGTGATGCCTGCTATTCCCTACACCCCCTTAAGCCCCTCGCTCTTTCCCTCTCTCCTCTCTCTGGCTCTCTCTCTCTCTCTCTCCTCTCTCGGGGCATCTCCGGGGAGGCCCCAACTGGCGTGGGGAACAGCGGCGATAAAAACCCCCCCCCCCCAAATCCCGACTTCGGGAGACGAACCGTAGGATGCCCATCTCCCGGCAGCATTCGTAAGCTCAAGCCCAGACGATCGCACAGTACCCCCACATACATTCCAACAGAACCTCCACTGTCCTCTCTCCTCTCCTCTAATCTCACTCCTCTCTCTGCTTCTTGCGGATCACGGGGGGGGGGGGGGGGGGGGGCAATATTGTTTTCCAGAGTGGCACCGGGGGAATCCAAGGCCGATAATGGGGGTCAATGGGGGGGAGGGGGGGGGGGGGGGGGGTACCATAAAATATAAATTATATATATATAGATGTATATGCACATTTGTGAGTAAGCTCTTTCTTTATTTGCTTGCGCAAACTTTTGGTCTTTAGTTGTAGCCATCGCTCCCTCTCTTTGTCTCCCTCTCTCCTCTTCCCCTTGCCTCCCTTAAGGACACAAAGCAGATCTGGAGGGGGCCTCCCAATCCCAAATGTTCAAGAACCCCGCCGGGGCACGTGAGCTTGGCCCCACGGCGCATGAGCCATGGCCACCCGGCCTACCGACCACAGTGCCTTTGCCACCCACCTTCATGACCTTGCGGCTGTTTGTTCTCCGGTCTTCGGGGTTTAAGTCGTTCACGGGAAAGTCTGACAGTGTGGCTAAGGGCTAAACCCCAGATAGATTTGCGAGGATGTCGACGTCGAATGGCCCCAGTCAAGCCCACATGCAAAACTCGGACTGCTCCACATCTAAACACTGGAACCCACGGCCCTAAACCCAACCTCTGCCAAGGAAACCGCAGCGGTCTCTCTGGTCGAAAGTGGGAGGCAACTGCCTCATCGAGCGCCTCTCACAAACTTGAAGCAGCATCTGGGGGCTATGATTGCGCTCCAAGGGAACATTTTTTAGGTTCAACACGCGTTTTCGGGTGCAGAGCAAAAATGGAACCTGAGGCTGTGTTTCTGTGTTTCGGGCTTGCAGCTTAGTCCTATATTTGCCACCCGCCTGGCTGGCAACTCTTGGCTATCCGCAGGGACTAATCGAGGTTCACTGCGGTTTTCACTTCACTTCCCACTCTCCAATACCAAAGAAATGGACCCCCTGCCCCACACATTCAAACCATCAAACTCTCACCCTGAATCCAGTTGAGCCCAAAAACGTCAAGTCTGGCCTCGATCAGGGTGTTCCCTCCAAACCAGGGCATGTTTCAGACCGGCTGATGACATTGTCCTGGGTTAGGTTTGAGAGATGAGGAGGGTCGGCTCTTCTGCAGACAAGTATCCCTTCCAAATCCACACTTTAGCACGTCGATGAGAAGTGGGTACCTTGCTGGCGCCTGCCTATTGTTTGGGCATTCTAGCATGGGGGGTTTACCATAGGGGAACCCCATGGGGATGACAATCATGACCCCCAAAAAGCCCCCCCCCCCCCCCCCCCCAACATCGTAGCATTTGGACGCGGCACTCCACACCATCCAGAGGTCGGAACAAAGTGGACATCACAGAAAACATCATGCCTCGGCTGCAGGTTGTCTAGGGGTTTTTGTTTGCCGAGGTTTTAGGGTTTTAGGGTTTTGGGGTTTTGGGTTTAGGGCTTAGGGTTTAGGGTTTAGGGTCAAGGGTTTTAGGGCTTTAGGGAGGTTAGCGGCTCATTGAGGAGCTGTCTGGTCATGTTTCGTTGGTTCTGTCGAACCTCTCACTTCAGGGCTTCACGTGGTGATCTTCCGCTTGCTTTACCAACCACGAGACTTAGCCTTTAGAACTTAGGCCTTTGCAGCCTCAAACCTGCAAGCACTCAATTCTCTTGAGCCAGATTGCGTCTTCAGCCCGGCCGTCTTCAAGCGATCTCGGACCTCTGCTGGGCTGATGCAAGAAGCTCATGGCCTACTAGACCCGAGAGCAACCTAAAAATGAAAAGGGCGCCTACTTTTGGTTTAAAGGGGTTGATAAGGGAACCTAAACCCCCAACAAAAAGGGCATAAGGGCCTACTCTGAGTCCTGGCTTCCATTCTAGTAAGCTTCCTACTGCGGAACTTGGGCTGCAGGGTCTTCCAATGCGGCTCTGTGTGCCCTTTTTTGGGGGGTTTAGGTTCCCTTATCAGCCCCTTTAAACCAAAAAAAGGTGCACCCTTTTGATTCCTAGGTTCAGTTTGGCCTTTGCGACCAGCACTGGGGAGTGGCAGCGCTTCTTTCGAAGCCCGGGGAGTGCTCTCGAGCAGACTAAGGGTTTAAAGGGTTTATAGGGTTTCTAGGGTTTATAGGGTTTACAGGGTTTATAGGGCTTATAGGGTTTATAGGGTTTATGGTGTGTTTAGGGTTTCGGGATTTAAGGCCTTGGAGCATAAAGGGGGGGGGGGATCTTCAGTGCGCTGCACGTATTGTGGGACGTTCACCCTTTATGCGAAGAGTCCTTACTGGGGATTAATATAGTACCCCCGCTTAATCCATTTTAGGGACATTCCCCCTTATACTAAGAGTCTTGAATTGGGATTCTACCCCCCCCCCACCCCCCCCCCACCCCCCCGTCCACCCACCCCCCCCCCCCCCCCCCCCCCCCTAGTATAATCCGTCATAGGGTGCTGCTGCCTACAACTACCCATGGCCAAGGTGCCACTTTGCAGGCTGTCGCGAAGCGGTCCTCCGAGAACTTTGCTGAGTCGCTGTCCATCTTGTTCACGCAGACCACGAGCCTACGCCGCAAAGCGGTCGAATGGTTGTGACGCAGGACATCGCTCACCTGTAGAATGGAGCTTATAAGGGGAACCAATAACCAAGAGCCCTAAGCCTTAAACCCTAAACACTCTGAACAAAGGAATCATGTGCACCAAGGAATCTGGCGCATGATCTCTGAAACTCCCGTGTTTCAAGCTCTCAAATCCTTTAGTCTGTCTTGCAGCAGGAGGGACCCTACACTCGGAGCTCCACAAGAAGGGTTTAGGGTTTCGGCTTTAGGGAAGGGCTTCGGAGTTGCAGGTTGCGTACCTGAGGTGAGCAGCAGGTGCTTCGGACCATGCAAGCAAAGAAGCACCTGCGGCCTGCAAAACATCGGCCTTCAAATGCAAACCCTCCCCTAAACCCCAAACCCTAAAGAGTTGACGGGTAGGGGATTGGTGGAGGGGGTTGTTGGGGGGGGGGGACCTGGTTCTAACAACCCCTAAACCCTAAACTTATAAAGGCCGGCGGCCTCTTTATCTGTTACCCTTATACCTTCAGATAGCCCCTAGATACCCTGGTAAGAACCCGAATACATGCCTCAAAAGACAGAAACCCTGCTTCAAGAGACCACCAACTCACATAACCCTAAACCCTGAACCCTACTCATCACACCTCCTCAGGCCCAGGGTATAGGCCAGCAAGGTGTGCTCGCGGAGCTGTCCCTCGCATTCCTCCAACACAGGCCACAGCTTGGAGCTAGCAAGCTTCAGGTGAATTGGCAGAGGACCCTAAACCCTAAACCCTAAATCCTAAACCCTAAACCCTAAACCTTGGTTTTTGAAGTAAGGGGTGCTGACGTTGTTGGCCTTGCCTGGATGTACAACCTAGCTCCAGCCGTGTACGGGGGCACCTCTGCCTTCGACCGGAGCCATTCTATAGCGTCCATGAGGGTTTGGGGTTTAGGGTTAGGGTTTTGGTTTTGAGGCCTCCGGTTCGAAGCTCTCTAGCTCTGTTGCAGCTGCCTTCTTTTGTTCCTTTGCACTGGATTTCTGCAGTCCTTATAGTCCTGGCGAAGAGGAATTCCGCTTGTTGTTCTCACTTCGATGCTCACAAGAAACTCACTCAGATCCAACCTGATGCCAAAGCTCTCGGCCCTCATCGAACATTCAACTTGTCCCCCAAAACCCCAAACCCTGAACCCTAAGCCCACGTTTCTGTTTTCATTGCAGGCACTTTGACCGCGCATCTTCTCGGAGACAACAAGGTATGATTTCCTGAGAGCTACCAAACGTTGGCATACTTCTAGAAGCACAGGTAGCAATAAACCTTCTAGCACATCTAGTCGATGTGGGGGTTACGAAAATCAGGGACCCCAAATAGAGACCCCTAAACAGTAGGATACCCAGTAGTAGCTTATGATAAGGACCCCAACATGTTGCCCCTAGGCCCTAAACCCTAAACGCTAAACCCTAAACCCCTTAAAACCCAACCCCCCATGTATTGATCTGCCTCGCCCTGCTCCAGCTCGCCCTTCGAGGCAGAGACGACCAAGACGGCGATGTCCGCCTCTGGCTCGCAAAAAGGGTTTAGGGTTTAGGGTTTAGGGCTTAGGCTTTAGGCTTTAGGCTTTAGGGTTTAGGGTTTAGGGTTTAGGGTTTAGGGTTTATAGGGTTTAGGGTTTAGGGGGGTAGCGGGGCGGTTCATGCTGAGGTTCGGGGGTGGGGCATCGATCAAGGAGGACCCTCACTTGATGGGGGGGAGAGGGGGTGATCTTGGGGGGTTAGGGTTTAGGGTTTAGGGCGGGACATAAGGGCGCAATGTACTCCTTACAGTACTCCTTACAGTTCAGGGTACCAAACTGAGCCCACAACTTGGAGCAAACCCCATCTGGGTTGTTCTCTGGTTCTTCTGCAGGTCCTTTCTCTGAGGGTTCCTCGCCTAACCCTAAACCCTAAACCCTGAACCCTGAACCCTAAACCCTAAACCCTAAACCCAAAAGGGACGTTCATTGCAGGGCCAACCTTCGAGCTGGTTTAAACGTGCTTCTCAGGGAAGTTACATGGTCCCTGAATCTAGGCCCTTGCAAGCGGACTCCTTACACACCCCTCCTATAGCCTATACAAAATAGGTCTCATACGAACCCTGTAAGGGAGGTAGAGGAAAATATGAAAAACCCATGTAACTACCCTTAGAGTGCTGCGGGCTTTGCCCTACTTGTTTCTAAGTTCAGTTCTTGTAATGCCTTCAAGGCATGCCGGACTGAATTGCAATCTTGCCTGACTTCACCCAAAACCCTGAAATGTTCCCCCTGTTTCTAACCGGGGATTACAGTGTCCTAATTACTAGAATCCCTGTTCAGGACTGTAAGTAGAAGGGGGAACATCCCAAACCTTAACTCTAAACCTGCAACCCTAAACCCCAAACCCTAAACCCTGAACCCTGAACCCTGAATCCTGAACCCTGAACCCTGAACCCTAAACCCTAAACCCTAAACCCTAAACCCTAGCCCTAAGCCCTAAACCCTAAGCCCTGACAGAGTGCTGCTAGAAGGGGGCATTGGTCGGTTTGGTGCAGGCCTGGGACATGGCCATCACCATGTCTTTGGAGAAGTCCTTATGCCCCGGCCTCAGGAAAACAAGGGCTTCTCACAGCAGAGTCGCAGTTTAGGGTTTAGGGTTTAAGGTTTAGGGTTTAGGGTTTAGGGTTTGGGGTTTAGAGTTTAGGGTTTCGGGTTTAGGGATTAGGGTTGTTTATTAGGGTTTAGGGTTTGGGGTTTAGGGTGTTTTGGCCCATCTTGAAACCCCTGAAGCCAAGACAAATCTTCGGAGGGGGGGGGGGGGGGTTAGGAGTGCGGGTCTGGACACGGTGGACTGCGCAAAGGACA